GACCATAGAGGAGTGCTTTGCCTCACTTTTGTGGTTTCCTCAGGAACTCTGTCAAGGTCCCACAACAAAAATGTTTCTCTCACAGTTCTCAGCAGGCTTTTGTTACTTTAGTCCATCAATCAAAGTTTATTGTCTGATGTCAGTCTGTAATGCTTGTTCGGTACCCACAGGGTTAACCAACGAGACGGAGGAAATACGAAAAATATTTCAATACATTGGGCCGGTGTGTTCTCGGGCGTGAGTTTAGCTCAAGAGAATGAACAACTGACAAACTCTTTGTTTTAAAGAGATCTGGGATGACAGGAGAGTTTTTGTTCAAGATCCGCTCCCACTCTTGTTAAATGTCTTTGTCCTTGAGAAATTTATTTGCAGTTCCTGAATTTTGTAACATGTGTCATAATGCTCGCCTAGTGTGGCACACCCTCGAAAACACTGGTGAAGAAACACACTGAGCTGCAACACACACAGACAGTGCTCAGGTAAAACATTAAGTATGAGAGATGAATTTGTTACAAATGAAAACCTCACCACTAAGAAAACTCTTGCTCCAGTCTATGTTGCAAAGCTGGTTAGGGAATATGTATAGCTGAATCAAAGTCCTGGTTACCACTTGTCAGGACCTGCCCTACTGCTTCTAATTGGCTAGTAGTCCTTAACTAGGTATTGCGCATGCGGGACTCCAAACAAAGAGATGCTTCATTTGGTAGCTAAAAAAGAGCTCAACACACAGGGTGAAAAGAGGAGCTGCAGCAATGTGCAGTATGAGAAAAATATGGTGTTTTTTGAAAATGAAGCCATGTAAACCTACTCTGGTACCAACCCTAAATACAATTATGAACCTGAAAATTAGCATAATATGACCACTTTAAGACATTTCTAACACTTACCATCCTAGTTCTTGGGGTCCAATATAAAAACACTCTTAATAAAGAAAATGAGAAATAAGATCAACTAACAAACTAAAGCAAGGTTAGCAAGAATTTACATGTAATGGCAATAATATTTTATCTAGGAGTCTGGTAATTCCTATTTCTTTCACATTAGGAGGTGAAACAGAGAAGAGGGTACACCTCCCCCTCTGGTTTGTTGGATCTCTCAGTGTCTGTGTGTGATAGTTTGGTTCCTTAAGATCTTTTTAAGTTCCTTTCTCAACTCAACAAGTGGTTTGTTAATCCAATAGTCATTGTAAACGCCAGGGTCATGTAGAGTTTGGGGTCCTGGAGGATAGGGTCTTAATGGTGTCAAAGCAGACATTTTAACAGTCTCTGGGTGGTAACGCAAGTCCATTTGCTCTATTTCAAACCAGCTTGGTGTGCATTTGATTCCTCTTAGAGCGCTTCAGTTGCAAGTCTTTTGATGTAGAGCCCCGTCAAGCCTTCCCCCCTCTTACTGAGTGAGGCTCAACTTTGCCTCAGTGTCTCTGTCTTTTGGGTGTAAAACTCATCCCCTTTATGGATATAATAATTTATGATTTCACCGTTCCTCTGGTCACAACAAATGTACACATAAATCGATATATTGGACATGGTAATTTTTCCTTTACAAAACCTTTTTGCAGTGTACCTCAAGGGTAAATTGTGGGCCCTATTCTTTCCCCAATGTACTAGCTTCCCATTAGTCACATATGAAGAAGCTGCTTGTGTGTGCTGTGTCAGTAAGTTTACCCATTTTGTGTTTAAAGGGGCCAGGTGAGCTGATGGCAGTATCATTCCAGATGTGGAGCACCTGTGTCACCTGTAAGTTCATTGCATTTGTCACTACATGCAAAATGGTTGAACACGTTTTCAAAAATCAAAGTTAAAATACTTTATTCATATACTTTGCCTACAAGTATATACTGTAGCTAAACGAAATGTTACCAATACCAATACTCAATACCAGTAAACAGTAACAATATACAGTGAGCAGTAATATTTCTGTGTGTGTATATATATATATATATAAAAAGAATGTTGTTTTCCCCTGAGAACGGGATAATTAATTTTCTCGTGATCACGAGATAACAAACCATAGCTGAATACAGGGGCTGGCAGGTGCGTTTCTTTAGGATAATTTCAAAGCAATTACCAGTGTCACTGGTTAGTTCAGTTGGTAGAGCACAGGGCTCAGTTTACTTAGTTTGATTTCTGTTCTTGTTGACGTTCTTTTTCTTCTTTTGTGTGTATTATCCTCTTCAGCAAAATTGTTATGAAGAGATTGAAGGGAATCCAATCACACATTTCATGATGGCTATTTCAAAGGTTCTGAAAGCCGTCAGGAAATGTGTAATGTTACATGGATTCCCCTGAATGAGAAGGAATTTCCTCTGCCTGGGAATGATGGGGAAATGAAAAGTCCATAGGTTGATGGATGTGGACCAAGAACTTTTCCTAACTTTGGTGAAGAGGATTATGAAAAATATAAGTAAATAAGTAAAGAAAAATTTTGTCTTTAGTGAGAATTGAGCACACAACCTTAAACCTATTAGGCCTATGCTCTACCAAGTGAGCTAAATATGATACAACAAATCACACTATAATTACCATTATGGTTATCTCGAAATCACGACAAAATGATGAGTAAAAAAAGTGCAGCCTTGTGCATTTTTCCATCATTGTCATCAAAATCTTAGCCAAAATGTACATCAGAAAATACTTACAGAGCACACTGTTATATTGACAAGATGGCTAAACATTTTGACTTGCTTGTTCATAAACAAGACACTTGTCGTTCTGATGGCACTGACAAGTTCAATGACATAAAGATTTGCTTTTTAGAGATAGACTAAGGATTTTGAGCAAGTTATGGGCTTTTGCAGGTAAACCACTGTGTTGTGGCGTTTGTACTACCTGTTTCGAGAAATGCACTTACTATTTTGGAAATGTTAAGGATGATTTGAGAAATGCACCAAAGCGACTGAGAAAAACTGTAATTGGAAATAGTGTGATCTAAACTTGTAAGTGAAACTATTAAGATGGTAATTATAGGTTAACGTATTGCATATATATTAGTAGAAAGTTAAAAATGAAAAGCTGATTATATGTTGGTTTTATTTAGAATTTTTTTCGAGACAAATGTGACATTAACTGATGAGTTACACTCTATTGTAAAAAAACATATAATTATCTGCACAATAGTTTTGAAGCCCCGTAGGTGTAATTTATTGTGACATCTGAGGAGGTCATGTGGGTATTGCACAGGTATTGGGAGGCTGACACTGTATAGATGCACCTATTTACCACAGGTACTATTCAAAAACCCCCTTTATACCACAGTTTGCAACAGCGCTATCAATTATACCACCTAGTGGGATTCATAATTACTCAATATAGGTGATTATTTGTTTCAGCACTTACCCACAGGTTGGTTTGGATGTGCGCTCATTCTTCTGTGTTTAAACCCAAACTAGACTTATATCAAAATTATGTACATTAGCCAAGAGCAGCCTTTACTCCGAGCTCTGAAACTGAAGTAAAAAGAAGTTTCTTTTATCAGAATAAAGGGTGTTTTTCGCTTGAGCAAAGCAAAACCATTGTGCAATCAACCAACCTGTCTATACTTGATTATAGAGCTATCTTGTACTCTGTATGCTGGTCATTGCACTTTAAAACCACTTGATGATGTTTATCAGGGTCTTGTGTTTTACTACAGCGGATAAATATCATACCCATCACTGTTTAGTCTAAAAATGTAGGCTGGCCCCCACCTGCAACAAGAAGAGGACTGCGTGCTATCATTTTTGTTTATTGATGTCTTCTACTAAAGCTGCTTCTGTATATCACTCACATTTGAAACCACTGCTCACCTGCTCCCATTGGATGACTTTAAACTTTCAATTTTGAACACTTTTAGAGATGTCTGTAACTGTTGCTGTCTGTATGTACTTGTGCATGGCTGGCTGTGTCTCTTATCTCTGTTCTCATTTCTCCTGCTGTACTCAGGGCTCTTGACAAAGGTGTCAAGGGACAGATTACATGTCAAGGCCAAAATAATTATTACAATTATAATATTATTGATATGCACTTTGTCCAGTTATTTCCTCATTGCTGATATACTAAAACCACAAAATAATAAAATAATGTTGCCACATCCTTTGAAGTGTTATGCTGCAAAGTCAAGTCTTCCAGGTCTCTGAGTGCTGACTATTAAAATGATACTTGATAGTGCAGTGTTTTTTATATTACATTCAATGCACAGACCCAATAATTTAAGTCTCCATCCACTCAAATAAGTGTTTTGCCTATTGTTACTTCACTTGGATGTGTGAGTTTGACACCAGAAGACCCTCTTTACATTAATTTGCTATAATATTTACAAAATCAGAAGCCAGAGCACAAGATAAACATGAACAAAACAGACACCAGACTGCTTGACGATATGCATTCATAGCCAAGCTACATTTATACTTTTTATCTCTCCCTAAACCAATTAGTTGATGTTTGCCTTGTTGGCTTGTGTGGCACGCTCATGAGCCACAAAAATTCAATGATGACTGGAAACCAACCTGCTACTGTCGTCTTAAAGCTGAAATTCAGCACCTTATCTTCATACTCACTATTTAATTTCATTCCCATGTGATGTAGTACAGATACAGTATGTAATATCAAACTCTAAACAAAATATATAACTGCACTTACAGAATATGTGAATATAGATTTTACTTCTATGTGCAGCTGTTTTTAATTGGATCAGAAGGTTGTAAAAGGAACAGGTACATTGGTGTTGGCTGGGTAAAATAAACCACAGATTTCAACAATCAACATTGTGAGCCCATTAACTGTCAGGGAAACTGGAAAGAAAATTAACTGCACTTCCCCCTCCCACTACAGCTATCAACAGGAGCCATTTGAGTAGGGGAAAATCCACCTTCAGACACTCTACAATGTTAGATATGATCAGTTAGTGATGTTCACCAAAGCCTGACAAATGTATAAATATCCTGATGTAAAGTTATAACGGCAATAGCTTAAATTAGGAAAAATACACAACAGGGAGCCTAGAAAAGAAAACACGTGAAAAAATCAAATTTTTGTCAGTGTTTATCCTTGTAGTATGTTTCTCCACTTCCCTCCAATGAATGAGGTCAAGACCAGAGAAATGATTGTTTACAGATGATAATAAGTTGCTCCAAGTTTGCTCTTTTTACTGACATTGCACAAAACAGAACAGATGGTTAGAGTGGTTACCGACAAAATGCATGTGCAAGGAAAGCAGACATTATCAGAAATCTTGATAATGCAGTGTGCATGCTGGTGCGACAGTACAAGCTAATCAAGCATGCACACCATGATAATATGACGCTGTGTACCGTATATAGTGATATAAATGGCAAAAAGCATCCTCCGGCAGTGTAAATCAAAGCAATATGCAACATTTTGTCCCATGTTGAATGTCAATGGAGTCTGGAGTGGCCCATCTAAATACTATAGCCTTTCTCGGTGCATTATTATGATCTATTAATAATTTGATACATTAAAAAAAGTTTTAAATTTAAGTTGATTAATTCAATTAGCATTCAAATATAAAAAAAACTAAAGAATGAAAAGATCATAACATGTGATTTTTTATTCCATTTCCCTTTTCTGTCTTTAAATGATCCATTAATAATTGATGTCCTTAATATAATTCAACACTGAAAAATACAAGCATTACGTTGGTGTTCTCCATGTCATCCATCTCTCTCTTCAACCAAATCTCTCCTCTCTCATTCAATCGTCTTTTAAAAACAAATACAAACACAAACACAATAACAAATGTTTGTTTTAAATACAAAAATATCTGACTATATACATAGTACAAAGTGCACAACTAAAACATTTCAAGATGGACATTATATTCAGGATTATGTACTGAGCAGATACTTCCATTTAACTTTTAATCAAAGTACATTTTCTGGAAATGTCAACAATAACATCCATCTTTGAAATGTGTGTCCCACAGCACTACAAACTGTGATTGTGGCAATACACCAGCAGCGGTAATCACTGTGTTTCGTGGAGTTTGTTCTCTGAGTTGCTGGAGTCTTCATCAATAGTGCTACATATCATCCACTGCTTGACGTAGTTAGAATTTGAGCTTTTGTGCTCATGAAATAAATTTGAATCTATCTGTTCAGCAATGTTTGAGTCTGAGGCTCCAGGGCTGCTGCACTCTCCAAAACCACTGTCCATGGTGTCCAAGTCCACGTGAGGGTAGCCGTCTTCTGACTGCTCATTTGAGGCGAATGAGTCAAGTGATACCCTCTCTGGTTCATTAAGCTGGACACGTGGCTGAAAGTTTATACGTTCCACTGATAAGCCATTGGATATTTGGTTTTCATGATGTGATAATCTTCCACTTTGTCTGTCCATCCTGGACATCTGAGGTTCCTCTAAATCATAGCCAGCGTGTTCTCTGTTGTCTTTTTCAAATGAACCAAAGCTTTCTCCATCTTGGTAACTTCTGAGGGTGTTAACAGAGCTTTGTGACACGACTTCGTCCTCAAGCTCTTCTTCTCCAGACAGGGTAACAGTATGGATGGAGATGTGTCCGGTAGAGTGACCGGTGCCCTGTAAACTGCCACCATCCTGGAACAGCAGCAGCGAGTTGCTGTGAGACTGCAGCATATGGAGGAAATTGCCACCTTGCTTCATCTGGTTATCCTTGCTGCAGCTTTGTTTCTCATTGTCCCATTGGAGGACGTCGTGCTGCTTCTCACTCATCATCTGAACATGCGAGTTGATCTTCAGGTAATCATACTCGCTGAATACAGGCTTCACCCACTCCTGCAACAGAGCAAATGAAAGACATTAATTTAAGTATTGGCACAAATAAATGGTAACACTGGTCTATGAATGTTTAACGGAAGAGTTTATTTGCTTTCTTGCTGAGAGAGATGAGAAAGTTGAAAACAGGTAGCTTAGCATAAAGCAGCAGGGGGAAACTGTTAGCCTGGGTCTTGGGCCAATCAGGAATTAGTTATAGCTAGCACCTCGCAGTAAAAACACAACTTCTCATGTTTACACTTCAGTTTAAGTA